CACCTTTCTAACTAGTTTTATTTCTGTCTTGGGATAGCTGTTGGCTCCAGGTTTGTTGTGTTTGTGTATCTCCCAGCATTCACAAGCACAGATCTGTCCCCTCCCGGACCAGAGACTGTCTCTCCTCCTGCTGTCTGCACCCATCCTGGCAGAGGGAAGAAAGTAAGGTTGGGGTGCATTCGAACCAAGACCAAATTCTCTTTGGGTTTTGCTGGTCACACCCAGGAAAGCTTAAACTTCTTTTTCTCCACTTAAATTCCAAGAAATGTTTTATGGCCTTAACCACACAGTTGGCTCATGCCAGATGGGGATGTGTTGAACTGGGCAGTGGGTGGGGCACCTTCCCTTGTATTTGGGGTGCAGAATGCTCACTGCCATTGGGCAGTGATCGGATAGCACTGATCAGGGTCAGCTCACCCTGTGATATATCCCATATGCAGATTTCCTTTGAAGAGAGAGGAGTCAGGTTCATTAATTAAAGGAGCCTGACTTGAGAGGCCTGTAATTAGAGGTGCTAGAAATCTGAATTTTAAGAGGTCTGTGCAGCTGCATTTTGAAAAATGTAGGGAGGTACCGAGAAGTACAGGTTGTGGGCAAGAATGTGGCTGAACCAGATTTGGGAGGTTCAGGTTTTGGCACAATTCCCCTTTAAATTCATATTTATTCTTTTTATCTCTCTGTTTTTTTCCAACTGGGAAGCTGAACCTCTGATTTTTTTCTTGATGAAGGTTACACAGGCATGGAGAGGCTGGTGGTATTATCAGAGTATATGGAGGGCAAAAAGGAGTTGCTGTAAACTAGAAGATGCTTAGTTTTTTTTTTCTTCTCTTTGATTTAGAGTCTTTATTTATTTATTTATTTATATTTTTGGTACCGGGGATTGAACTCGGGTCCTTGTGCTTCCACAGCAGGCGGCGAAACCACTGAGCTAAATCCCTGGCAAGATGCTTAGTTTTTATGGAAGCAGGGATGTCTTTGGGCATTGGGATGCAGTGCTTGAAAAAAATTAAATACTTTCTTGAAATGAGTGAGTGGAGCAGGAAGCAGAAACACAAACTGCACATAGTATAGGGAGCTAAGTAGCCTTGGGTAAATGTTGAATTCTAGAATCTTTGTCTCTGCTTTTCTTCCCCAAAACAGTGTTTCCTCCTCTGTCATAGAGTACTTTTCCATGTGACCCCAGAACTCTCAGATCTTTATGAGAAGTCCTAACCTGTCCCTTTTCTTTCTCATTTCCTCAGTTACTTGTAGGATGACCTTTTGCTTTGAATGCTTTTTCTCCACTGCCTGAAGAAAAATTATTTTTCTATTCGATTTGTAATGGCCCTTTTTCCTCCTGTCAAAAACCTTTATTTTGGTCCAAGACTATTTGTATTTCTGTTAATTAATTGTGGCTAGTTTGTGATGTGGACAGGAGCAGGGAGAATGAGAGTTATGTGGGTAGGGGCTCACCTCCTTGCCTTCCACAGGAAGGAAAGAAAGCACTAGTGGTGGATGGGATGCTCCAGGCCAGTGTGACCAACGCCCCACACGCTGACTATGGACCTGATGCTGTAGAGCCCCTTTCTGGCCAGCCTGCCTGTCTGTCTGTCTGTCTTTCTTTCTTTCTTTCTTTCTTTCTTTCTTTCTTTCTTTCTCTTTTTCTTTGAGACAGGGTCTCGCTATCTGGGTTCAGGCTGGCCTTGAACTCACAGCAACCCTCATGTCTAGCCTCCTGAGTGCTGGGATTACAGGCATGCGCCACCACGCCTGGCTTTCCTCTCTCCCTCCCCTCCCCCTGCCCCTCCCTCCCCTCCCTTCCCTTTTCCTTTTCCCTTTCCCTTTCCCTTTC